GACAGGACCTGAGCAGCCCCAGGTCCTTGCAGGGACAGAACACCCAGGACAGGACCTGAGCAGCCCCAGGTCCTTGCAGGGACAGAACACCCAGGTAGGACCTGAGCAGCCCCAGGTCCTTGCAGGGACAGAACACCCAGGACAGGCCTGAGCAGCCCCAGGTCCTTGCAGGGACAGAACACCCAGGTAGGACCTGAGCAGCCCCAGGTCCTTGCAGGGACAGAACACCCACCCCCGTGTCGCAGCTCTGTGTCCAGCTCCAGCAGCTCCAGGTTGAAGGTGGCCAGGATCCCAGCCAGGGCAAAGTTCCTCTGTGCCTTCCAGAAGTTGCTTTTGTTGTGGGCATTGCAGTGGCACAGGGAAGGGGCTGTCCAGAGCTGGCACTGTGTCAGAAAATACAAAAATAAAAAAAAGGAGAGGTTGCTGGATTTTCGTGTTTCCCCTCAGCACTGAGTGAGGGGTTTTAATTCCTTTTATCCTCCTTGCACCTGAGTAAATATTTTGACAGGCAACAGTTTGATATCATGGCAACCATTTCAAAAAAGCCCCTTATTCATGACCTGTTATTGCTGAGCCCTTCAGAGACCCTCAGGGCTGGCACCCTCCCCACTGGCAGCTGGGAACAGACCCTGTCTTTGCATGTTCACCCCAACTGTGCCCACAGCTCAGTCTTCTGAAATCCACAAAAGGTCCAAGCAAAGAAACCACCCCCACCCTCCACTCCTAACTCCAGTGGGGACAGTCTAGGAAGCTGACATTTCTCTAATTCATTAAAAAAATGTCTGATTTAGGAATCTGATTTTATGAAATGCACTGTGTGCCCAAAGCAAACAGGACATATAAATAAACATTTACTCCAACAACTGCCTGGACTAGAAATAAACCCCAACACTTGAAGTAGTTATGAGGAACTGTTAATCAAATTTTCTGTATTATTCTCTTAGAGCCCCTAACTCTTTCCTGGGAGGGTAGAATTGCTGACTCCTCATCTATCCTATTTCTTTGCCAGCTTTAATACAGGTGCCTTGTTATTGTGCACTGCTTTATGGAACCTGCTTTGTTTTATCCTGTGTAATAAATAACTTTCTCTGCTCCCTCCTGTCTATTTAATAAATAACCCAGTTGATGTTAGACCTGACCTTAAGGACTCCTGAGCCAGAGTGATTTAGGCACAGTCACCTGAGCAGAGCTGCTGCCAAAAATCTGAGCAGGGCTTGGCTAAAGCTGTCATTTGATGCAGTTTTGTCTCCTGCAAGCTGTGCCCTGCCCTTACCTCAGCAGCCAGTTTGTCACAGATGTAGCAGTAGCACTGGTCACAAATATCTGCATTTTTCCCAAGGGGGAAGCAAGTATCACTCTCGCTCCTCCTGCAAGGTTGAAAAGCAGAAGGTTAAGGAGGAAAATCACAGCCTCACCCAGCTCTGCTGCTCTCACCAAGGGAAATGTGGGAAATGGGAGCCCAGAGGGGACTGGCCAGCCCTGCACATACTCAAAGGGGTGCGTGCTGCAGTCGTGCCTGGCGTGGGGCATCACATTGGCTTGTTTACAGTAGGTGACCACTAAATCCCCTTCCTCATCCACCAGCTCTTCTGATTTCTTCTCTTCCAGGGGAGACTTCTCTGCAGGAAAGAGAACACGAGGTGTAAATCACTGCAAAGGTAGCTACAAAGTGCTTAGAAATTACTGAGATTTACTTTTTGAACACTTTAAAGCGGATTTTTTTTAGGGTCTGACACAATGGCACATGAAATTTCCATGAACTATCAAACCAAATCAAAAAAGACCCAGCTGACACTGAAAAGGCCCAGTCTGAGCTCAATTTGAAGTATTTGAAAACTACGCAGCAGCATCCTTTGGAGTAGTGCCATCAAAGATATCCCCACAAATTGGGGATTTCCTCCTGGTTTTATTCACTTGTGCAGCACAAGGGCAGATTTCAAGCATAACAGAGAATTAATTCAGTTTATTCCCCAAATCTTTCAGGGGAACTCCAGCAGCAGCACGGGAACAGCTCTTACCCTGTGGCTCTACAAACAGGACAGAACTCCCTTGGGTGCTCTCCCCTTCATCATCATCATCATCATCACTGATCAGGATTATGCTCTCCTCCTCCTTTTCTGATGGCCACATGGCCACCAACTTCCAAACTGGAACCACCTGGCAGCCACCTGGGTAACACTGACTGTCCATTTGTACTTTTAAGGTGTTTTCTTCAACAAGGAAAGAAAAAGACTCCTCTGAGACCCAAATTCTTCTCTGCTGGGTAAATTTACACTAGAGACAGAGACGCTTCATCCTCAGTGCACTCAGCACCTCAAAACCCACTGGGGCTTCCATCCAGAGCTCAGAGAACCCTGAAAATAAGGAGAGGAAAAAAGAAGAAAAAACTTTAAAAGATGAGATGAGCTGTTCTTCTGGTGGGTTTGGTGGGACTGGCTGTGGAATGAGGACAAGGGGAATGAGTTCCCACTGACAGGGAAAGGTTAGAGGGGATTTTTGGGACAAATCCTTTCCTTGGAAGGTTCCCAGAGAAGCTGTGGCTGCTCCTGGTTCCCTGGAAGTGTCCAAGGCCAGGCTGGATGTGCCTTGGAGCATCCTGATCTAGTGGAAGGTGTCCCTGCCCATGGCAAATGGTGGGACTGGATTGCTGGAAATGATGCAACATTAAATTTGGGACCAATAGGCAGGAATGGCTTTGGGTTCTGCATGTATAAATCTGCAAGATATCTAGTAAAAAGCCAGCTGTACATGGAGTATTTTCTGTGGCACATCCTGGCCACACGGATTAAAGTAAAGCCTGACTCTCTAGCACTGTGTAGTGCTGGAAGGGTTTTTTATCCTTCCCAAATTTTGCTGACAGCTTTAAAGCTCCTCCCATCCCAAACCATTCCAGAATTCCATGACAACAGCTCCTGTTAACAACAACTCAGCTGTCCCTTAAACCTGCCACACCAGAAACACCCAGCACAACAACAACAAC